AAGTAGCTTTAATTGCAATCCCCTAACTAGATTGCCTTTTATCAGCCCCCTATACACAAATTGCCCTAGAATTGCAATAGCCTCTAAGTCAGGACAGATACATCCAAAAGTTTATGCTATATACACAAGTCTGCATATACACAAATGAAAGGGGGAATGTCACTCATTGTAGTGCTTCACGCATATGGGAGACAGTGCCACAGTGAAGGAGAAATAATTCCAACCTTCCCAGACGGGTCTCCTTCACATTTCAGGCTCTAGCCACAGTGTCCTTCTTTATGTTCCTTATCCAAGTCACACTTTTAAGGCCTTTGCATGTGCTGTTTTCTCTCTTGGAACAGTGACCTACCCCAATCCACATCTTACTATGTCATAGCTGGATTTTTCTTGTTCTTTTAAGTCTCTTTCCCTGACCACTTTTTAAAAAAATTCTGCTGGCCTCTCTTTGTCTTTATCACATTGCCTTATTAATTCCCTTCCCAATGCTTTGTAATTGTATATTATAATTATGTTATTGTTTAATTGATTGCTGTACATCTGATACCCATATAAGACTCTGAGAATGGCAACCACGTTTCCTATGTCTTCACCATAACACTTGGAGCAAACACTACCTGCACCTAGAAAGTACTCTGTAAATATATGTTGAGTGAATGAATAAGAGGTAAGGAAAGGGTAGAAAAGGAGGGTTACTATTTAAAAGCATGCCAATGATTACCAGTAGGAGGAGGTTTTATTTTGGGATGGGGGAATTTCCTGTTATTTCTGAAATCATACCACATAGGTGGCAGCTTTCCTCAAGATTGGTTCTGTGGGATTTGGGGAAACATAATTGCCAAGATTGCATTGGTATCGGCCTAGGTCATTAATGCTGGTGGGTAGAATAAACAACCTTTAAATCTCAGTGGGAGGTTTAGTTTTTCTCTTGGTACAGACTGTTTGGCCACTGTCTTCTACGTGGGGATTCGGGGTTCCAGTGTCTTTCTGTGTCTCCACCGTCCTCTCAGGACACCCCAGGATCCTTCATGGGATCCCCTCTGCGAGGCAAAGAGAGAGGGCTTAGCTGATTACATAAGAGGTTTCAAAGACCAAGTCTGGAAGCAGTAGGCATCACTTCTGCACACGCTCCATTGGTCAGAAAGAGGCACGTGGCCCCAACCTAACCGCAAGGGATGCTGGGAAATGTAGTCTCCCTGTGGGCCCTGAAGAACCTGGATCTGTAAGCATCAACCCAGCCTCAGCCACGCAGAGGATTTTATTTGATGGTTGTGATGATTAGGGAGTCAATGTGCGCAAAACACTCAGAACACTGCCCAGCACTCTCCAGGGCACCCACAGTTCCAGGTAAGTTGTAAAAGGAGTTTCTCCGAGTTTGCGCTAACTGCGGCTTGCTACCCAAGGCTGATGTTCTGAGGCCTCTGTCCAGCCCAACAGCTGGCTGGAGAGTGCTGCGAGCCCCAGTAACCAATAAGGCCAGCCAGGGACACAGACGCCGCAGCCAAGTCTGTGTGGCACATCCTCATGCCTTGTTTAATTTGATTCCTAGGTGGGACAAGTTTTATGAGCAGGTGTTCTGGTTAATTAGGTGATTAATACTTCTCAAATTGGAGAGCCGTTTCCCCAGTGACAGTTCTTACTTTGCTCAAATATCAGACAAATCCTCATCGTATAGTCTGGAGAGGCCCGTGATGGCACTCCTCTGTCTGCCAGGACTCTCAGGTCACCACTCTGGCCCCGAGGACCAGAAGCCTGACTCCACACCTGCCTGAGTTGCCTCTTGACACGCAGTTTAGGGAAACAAGAGCCCCTCTGATCATCTGGCTGCCTTTCAGACCAGGACAAAGTTGATCTGGGGACACATTTCTGGTTTCCTTCTGAGGATCCCAATCTGTGTCACTTCCCAAGGTCAGGGCCATTGCCTCTGCACAGAGCCCCACAGTCTCTAAAGCAAGGTGGCCATGCCAAGGCCAAGGGCAAATCAGGCATCAAAGCTTTTTTCCCTTAGCTTGGCCCTTAGGCCAAGAGCAACGTGCTCCAAACTCTCTGATATTCCATACTCTCAAAGCCCGCTTCCCACCCATGGACTATTCCATTCCTACCTCCTTGCCTTTGTTTCCCTCAATGCTAAAACCCTTCTCCCTCCTGCTGGTGTCATCAAATGCATGCATCCTTCAAAAGCCAGGCTGCATTCCTCAGCCCTTTCAATCCCTTTTCTGAATTTTTGTAGCACTTACTATCTGGCCCACATCAATTAGCATTTAGTTATATACCATATATTTTCTCTTCTTTCATGTATATTAATTTTGTCTTCCCAGTTGGATTTTTGGCAGCTGTGGCTGTATCCTCTCCTGGGCATATATTAAGGTCTCAATAAATGTTTGTTTGATTTGCTAAATTAAGCTGGATACCACTTCTAATTCTGGAAAATGGGTCAAATTTATTATCTTACCCCACCTTTGACCACACAGCTGGGAACATGGCCACTCAATCCTGTCCCTCACATGTTTCAGTTGTGAAATCACAGAAGGACTAGATCTCTTTCTCCTGTCCCAGTTGGAAAAATCCCAGGGAAGAACTCTGATTGGTTCATTTCATTCATAGTCCTACTCCTAGAAAATCAGTGTATGGAGGGAGGTAAGATAATGGAAAAACAAGAACCTTCCAAACCATGATCACATGATTGGAGCTAAAGGCCAACCTTTGCCCATTACAGGTGGATCTGGATTTTGGAAGGTTTTGTTGCTCTATCTTCTTCCCCAGAATAGGTTATTTATTTTAAATTATTTATTTATTTTAAATTACATTTTCATCAAACACTTATCTGGTTGGAGTAGATTCTGCTTCTTGGGGAGGCTCAATAAATTAACTGATAACAAACTTTTATTGTTCTTTCTTTCTCAGAAGAGAGAGAGAGAGGAATTTGCATTGATAAATGATATCTTTCCAGGTCCAACTGATGGTACCTTTTCCTTAACCCTGATCTCCAGAAATGATGCAAAATTCACATACATGAGTTATTCTCCATCCCAGGAGGATTTCATGGGTAGCATAGTCTTAATCTCAAGTTGGAGATTTCATCTTCTCTCTCTCCCCTTCCTGTTCACTTACTCCCAAAAGATCTGCTTTGGTGGCTCAGTGAGGTAGTACCATTTTTAGAGTCTCTAGGAGAAAACAGATAACACAGCTTAAAGGAGTCACTGAAGAAAGTTTAGTAACGAAACTATATGGAAAAGTGAGGCAGGGTTGAGGAATCCACAAGGCAGAGGAACTGCCCGAAGTTTAGCAACAGTGGAAAGCTATTTCTACTCCTATCCCCTAAAGGGGCTGGGGCATGGGAGTGGTTACCAAGGAGAACCAGAGCTAGAGAAGAGGGCTGCTGGACATGAATTACAACCTTCAATATGGGAAGACAACCTCCCAGGCAGCTACTGCCAAACTGCAGTCATTGTGGAGGAAGGCCTGGCCTCTCTCCTGGAGCTCTCTGAGCTAGTACCCGCATGGTCAGACCCAAGGGAGTGCAAGTGATACAGTCAGTGGAGGTTAGCTTCCTAGAGACTAGAACTGCCTCTGACAGTGGGCAGAGAGTGAATCTGGAGATCCATCAGAGAAGGAGGAGCACAAATGGTTAGTCTTGATGGGGTGAAGGCAAATCTATCAGAATCAGGGGGAAATGTGTAGAGTTTGCAAGAACATCCTGAAAGAATGTAACCTTCTCTCCCCCCAAAAAGAATAAGTAACACTGATGAAAATGAATAAAACTACAATAGGAGAATGTCAAATAAGTTAGCTGATGTGGAAGATCATTATTTATCCATTCATTTATTCATGAATCAATGAATCAATCAACAAACATTTACATGCTCCTCTAGGCATCGAGCACGGAAAAATGGACTAGACATCTCTATATGCTTGAAATTTTTTATAATAAAATTTTGGAAGAAATGGATTGTTATACAGGGTCACTGTCCTCAAGAACCTAATAGTGTGGACCAGCAAAGTTTCCTGGAGGAATCAACAGCTAAACTGATAGCCAGACAGGAGGGTAAGAAAGGAGATTCTCAGAGGAGTGTTGAGTGGGTGTGGACAACTGATGGGAGCTGAGGTGGCAGAGACTGAAAACTACTCCAAAGTTCAAGATCACATTGTCAGGTCTGCATTTGAGAAAGATCCCGGGATCATCTGGTCAAAGGATGGATTGGTGGAGCAAAAAAATTAAGAAATAAAGTTAGAGAAATGGTGGGGGCCAATGTGAGCAATACCCAGGCATGCAACTGGGATCTAAACAATGGCAGGGGGACCAAAGATGGAGAGGGGGTAGATTCAAGAGATGATCTTGGGGAAGAATTAACAGCACTCAAGAACTGGGCAGCTGCAATATGAGAGATCAGGAAGGTGCTTTCGAGCTATTTTGCCTTCCCAAAACTTCCACCCACTTTTTCAGCTAACAGCTCCCTGTTTTCCTTTGAGAATAGGGTTCCTACCTGTGCAGCTGAGTGTCGTTTTCATGGAATTGTCACCCACAGGTTCCTGTCTTCTCTGGCCAAAGGGTGATCCCATCACCCCAGCCAGGCCAATCAGTCGCTCCTTCCTGGGAATTTGGAAATCTTAGGCCTGGCACCTAGATCCCACCTGCATCTTATCTTTTTTGAAGCCTCCTTCTTCACTTTTTTCCTTAGATTCTGTATGCTATCCAGGACCTTCTTAAAAAGTCATTTATTTTTACTTTAATGAGCTACAGTTATTTTCCGTCGCTTGCAGTCAGAAAACCTTAACTGATTGCAGTGGCCATGTGAATCGTGGTGACTTATACAGACAGAGAAAAGCAGATGAAGGAGAAAGCTTGAGACAGGGTTTCATGGGGAAATGGGGGGTGGGGGAGAGTGACATATAGGGAAAAATCCAAAAGTTGGGCCAGGGAGGCTTTTGTGGAACTCTGAAAATCACACCACAGAGTATAAAGCCATCTCTTTGACATAGAAAGTTCTCCCTAGCAGGCTCACCTCCTAAAGAGGTAACCAGAGAGAGCAATTTCTCCATGGGCAGGCTGTCGCATCCTGAAGGTCCTCAGATTCAGTTGGGGGAGTGGACAGAGCCATGTTGCCACTGTGGGAAGCCTGGGTCCCGGCGCTGGCTCTCTCACTGATTAGCTGGGCGAACTTGCATAGATGCCCACTTTTCTCTCAAACTCAGTTTCCTTGTTAGTAAGCTGTAAAGATTGAATTATATTTGAGGTTCTTAAAATATGTCCCAAAATAATTTTAAGTTTAATAAATAAGTTTAATAAGTTTAATAAAAAGGGGTCGAATATGCTGGGAAACTGGGGTAAACAAACCTTTAATGGGGAGAGGGGTTCCTTATTGATTTCGGGACTTCTCAGGATGTTAAATATACTCACCAGTGAAGCAAATCTCCAAGAGGGGTGAAAGTGGACAACATTTCTCACTCTATCTTTGCCCAGGGAAACTTTTATTTCCCCCATGAAGAAATGTGCGGAACCACCAGTCATCACAAGGCATTTGTAGAAATGCTGGGCTAGGTGATTTCTGAGGCTGTCCCAGCCCAGACACCCCATGACTCTGTGTAGCCCGGTGTTCTGTGCCACTCCATTCAGTCTTTTCCACTTGCCCAATCCTGGGGGATGATTGAACTGAAGGACCTCTGAGATCTGTTCTAAGGGACTTCTCCCAGGAAAAAAAAATCACACTTGAATGTCTATGAAGTCACTTAAAGAGTTAGTCAGGCCCAAGAACCGCCCCCCAACCCCGCCCCCAGCAGCTTAAATGGAAAACTTAGCCCCCCACTGCGCCTGGAGCACAGATCCCAGCCCAGCCTGAAGGGATTGCCCCAAACAGGCTCTAGCTTGCATTTGGGGAAAACAAAGAAAACCCTACTCCTTTCTGCTCCAGACAGTCTGAGACGCTTTTGTGCCCTTGGGCCCTTGCCCGGTTCTCTCATCTGCCTCATTCCTGGTACTAAATTGGTTCAAGGTTTGGAGGAAAGCTTCAGAGGAAAGGGGGAAAAGGATGTTTAGAGTTCTTAAATGCTGAAGTCACCCTGAGGACCAGAGTGCAGACCCTCTCCGGCCACCAGGGGGCGATGACAACAGCATCTGTATGGAAAGCTGTTCACAAGAATAACAGCAGTAAATTGCACCTAATGTGTTTATGAATGATGGAGGACTGGAGAGCGTGTGTGTGTGTGTGTGTGTGTGTGTGTGTGTGTGTGTGTGTGTGTACAACTGGGTGCCTGGAGCTAAGACTTTGAAAATCTGCTAAGTATAATAAAATAAAATCTGCACCTCTACTATATATTCACAGGATGTGCTGGAAAGTTTCCTTGAAGGAAAATGAGGTGGAAGGAATCAGAGGAGCATTCATAATTAGGAGAAGGGACGATCTCTCTGGATCACCACTGCTGTCGTGTGTGCGAGCGAGTGCAAGTGTGCGAGCATGCATGTGTGCAAGCGTGTGACGACGTATGTTTAGGCACAGATGTGTGCGGGCGTGTGTGAATGTGTGTGTGTTCAGGGCTCATTCAGGTTTTCCCAGTGTGAGGGACCTCAAAGAAGTCTGGGCAATACTTCCTCCAGTTCCTGCCTTTTCCCTTCAAACAAACAAACAAAATCCTTCCAACAAGTATTTATGGAGCCTCCGCACGCGCCCCTCCCCGCCGGCATCTGGAAAAGCTCAGACCTGCCCAATTTAAAGAGGGCACGGAGGAACGGAGGCTCTGGGGGCAGAAGGATGTGTCGCCTGCCAGCGACTGTTTTGCAGGAACACTTTCTCTTCTTTGATGCTGCAAACAACCCCGGGTGGTGGGTCCACACAGGGCTGTGGCCCCTTGATGTGAGGAAACCAAGGCTCAGAAATAACACGATTGGTCCAGAGTCACCAGTCAGGAAACAGAAACCCGAGGGCTGACCACGGTATTGTCCACCCAAGTCCCTGACGCCACTGCGTTAAGCAGCCCTCCAGGTGTGGGGTCTGGGCAAGGCAGTGCAGCCATCTTTCGTGACACGTGTGACAGCGGGGTGCATTCGATGCGTGCCAATCAAGCAGGGCCTCTAAGGGAAGCTGTGGATTCTTGTCACGAGTGCCAGGTGCCGCAGCGGCGCAGCTGCGCGGGCGACAGTGCCCTGGTTTCGCGGCCCCGGGAGCTGTGTGATCTCGGGCAAGTCATTTCACTTCTCTGAGCTTCGGATTTTTCTCTATAAAACGAGGGTACTCAGAGCCTGCGAGACCGTGTTGGGACTGAAGGAAAGAATAGGAGCAGGGTGCCCAGCTCAATGCCAGGACTAGAAGAAAAAGGTGCCGCGAGCCTTATCAGCCCTTGGCTCCCACGAGTGGATGAGCTTCAGCGTTTCTTTCCTGGCCCGCCGGCCGAGCCCCTGGCGTGCCCGGTTCCTTCCCTCTCTCTCCGCCGCTGCCTCCTCCCTCCCAGCTCCCGGTCGCTCCAGCAAAGTTCCCAACTTGGTCGACATGACGCGCGGCGCAGCCAATGGGAGGCGGAGTTGGCGTTTTTGGGGGGTGGGAGGGGTGGGCCCCGCGTCTCCGGTGTCTGCCCTGCTCAGTGAATGGAGAGAGCGAGCGCCGGCCAGCTCGCCCGGCCGCCCCGTGCCCCAGCCGCCGCCGCCGCCGCCGCGCTCCCCAGCGCAGCCCCAAGCCGGAGCTCCCCGGGCGCCGCGCCCCACTGCGCTCGCCCCAGGCCCCCGACCCGGCCCGCGGGCCCGCGGGGCCAGGGGGCGCTCGGCACCTGGGCACTCCGAGCGATGCGCGGCGGGGCAGCGCCGGCCCCGCAGATGGAGCTGCCGCCGCCGCCGCCCGGCGCGCCCCGCTCCGCCCGCGCCCCGTGCGCCTGAGCGCCGAGCTCGCCCCTCCTCCGCGCCAACTCCGCCGCCCGCTCCCCAGGCCGCCCGCGCTCCCCGCGCGCCTCCTCGGGCTCCACGCGTCTCGCCCGGCAGAGGCAGCCTCCCGCGGGCGCGGGGCCCTGCACACCATGGCCCCCGGGCGGACGGGGGCCGGCGCCGCCGTGCGCGCCCGCCTGGCGCTGGCCTTGGCGCTGGCGAGCGTCCTGAGCTGGCCCCCCGCCGTCGCCTGCCCCACCAAGTGTACCTGCTCCGCCGCCAGCGTGGACTGCCACGGGCTGGGCCTCCGGGCTGTTCCCCGGGGCATCCCCCGCAACGCCGAGCGCCTGTGAGTACCCCCGCCCCGCCCCGCCCTGCGCGGGCCACCCACCTGGGTCCCACCGAGGGGGCCCCCAGGCGCCAGATCCCTCCTTTCCCCTTGGCCGCGCTGGATGCACTCTCTGTCCTCACCCCCTCTCCGATCTCTCTCTCTGTAGATCTCTTTCTCCCTGAGTTGGGGGCCTGGGGCTTTGGGCAGGTCTGGAGAGAGAGGTCCCAAAGCTCTCCGCAGTGGGCCAAGAGCAGTGCCTCTCGGGGTGAAGGTTCCAGGCGCAGGGCCCGCTGACAGCTTCCTAGGAGTAGGCTGGCCGGAGGCGAGGGGAGGAGAGAACACGGCTACCTCGAGGTGTGGGCGCGAGGGTAAGGGGTTGGCGCTCATGAAAGAGGGGGACGAAGGCGAAAGCCATAGGGTGAGGGGGTGTCAGGGCATGGAGGCCAGAGCGAGAGGGCCTGAGACTGTTGACCGGCTTGGAGATCAGGACGCCGGGCCCGCCGCTCTCTGGCTGCCCTTGCACGGAAAGTTGAGAGTGTGGGTGAAGGTTTAACTTCTGAGGAAACGGACAGATTCAGAGTGGGTGCTTGCAAAACCCGCCCTGCCTGGAGCGCAGCCTGGGAGATGCCAAGTTGCAGCCGGGGTGAATTTTTTATGGCTCGGTTATAAATGCCTCCCCAAACGGCCGGAGAATGGAAATGCTGACAGCCCTTCAAATGAGCCCTAGCGCTGTAATCTCACAAACCGCACTCAGCCTCGGATCCTGGGTTTGGCAGCCAGTGGAGAGGAGCTTGGAGAGTGGGGTGGATTGACCCTCGTTTTAACCCCAATTGTGCAACCAAATATTTACTTTTCATATGTCAACGTTTTGGAAACATTTATCATTTTGATCCTCAGAACCAAATTCAAAACTTGAACTCCGGGTGGGCTCCTCTTAGTCCAGAAATGGGGGTGTGGGGAAGGAGGGAGCACTGGGGGACGGGGAAGTGGGTAAGGGTTTGCTGTACTGTGACAGACTCTCCAGGTCTTGCTCTCCCAGGTCCCCCCTTCCACACGTGACTCTGGGGTAGGAATGCATCTTCCATTCTGCCCTGTTGATTTCAGCTGGAAGAGAGGGGTGATGATGCCAATTGTCCTGGTATGTTATTCCTGTTAGTCACCTCCTGTCACTCCCACCTCCTCTTCTCTTCCACTTACTCTTTGTGCATCTCTGAGCAGAGACTCAAATCAACAGAACTGCCTTCCTTACTTCTGGTGCTTTCCTTTGGCTCGGAACATTTTTTTTCCAAGTGTAGTGATTGTTCTGTTGGATCCAACCACACAGTCCAAAAGGGTTAGAGCTCAATCTTCATCAACACATGGTGAAAACTGGGCTGGCAAATGTAAATGACTTGCCCATGGAAACACAGCAAGTTGATGGCAAAAAAAGGGCCAGAATCCAGGTTTTCACATCTCAATTCAGATATTATACTAATCTATACTGGGCAAAAATTTGTTTTAATGGCACTTTTAGATACCTATAACTTATAAACCGTTTCCCTCCTCCTTACACTAGTGCTAGTCGTGTTGGTGAAATAATAACTGTAGCTAATGAATGCTCTGTGCCTTCACATTTATGTGTACGTGTTATCAAATCTCTACAACAGTCTTGTCAGTTACATAGGGAATGCTTATTACTCCATTTTACTGTTAAGCCATCGTGTCATTTACTCAAGGTCATGTAGCTAGTTAAGTGTTTGAATCCAAGCCTGCCTAGCTCCTTCCTAGGCCTATACCCCTTCCCCCCAACTGGACATCCTTAGAACAAGGGTCAGTTTGGGCCAAGATCTATAACCAGTCCTGGGAGGGTTCTGGCTGGGCTTGGGTCTTAGAATAGGCTGCTGTTGCTTCTGCTTTGGGTAACCCATGCAAAAGTTCAGCTCACCTTGACCTCCTGCTCGGGGTCTTAGGACTACTTCTTCCCCATCTTCAAAATCATGTTGCATGTTCGGGAAACCGAGGAGAGTGAGCTCTCTTCTTGGTATGTAGGAAGTTTTCCAAAGCTGCAGGCACAGCACCGAAGCCAGCCTGCTACTCGGGCATCTCCCTCGGAAGATCCAGGCAGCTCAGGGGCAGCCCATCTGCTCTACAACTGGAGAAACAGGGTGAAGACTGGAGGCCTGGACATCCCCACGGGCCTCCTGCTGCAGTCACGGTCCTGGCAGGCAGTGGCGGAGCAGGAGCTGCTTTGAAATCTCTGGTCTCGAGCCCGGTGGGTGGTGCCACGTTGGCTAGGGTGCACGGTGGTGATGGGGCTGCCTGGGCTGGTCTCTTGTTCTAGTCTCTCTCCTCCCCAGGAGTGGGGACAGCCTTTAGGGGCAAGCTGGGTCAAGGTCACCTCAGAGTTTCAGGGCAGCCCCCCAATAGTCCTTTACCTGCCCACACCTTCTCCTGGTCCACTCAGTTGTAAGATTTCAATGCTGCCAACTCCTTGGGGGATATTTGGCATTTTTACGCCATCTAAGGA